TAAACTTTGCATTGTTTCATTGCCCGTTAATTAAATCCCGCTGATTTCGGTAAAACGTATTTAACATTAATTTGGTAAAAGCTTGGTGGTATGAAAATTAATTGATTAATAGACGTGCGAAACTATTATAGGCTAAAATACATAAAAACGGCTTTATTAAATCCGAAAGCTAAACGCTTTTCATTTAATTTTTCAATAAGCAAATTGGCAAAATAGCAATTATTAAATCAGATGAATCTTGCTGACTTTCCTATTCAATATTTTCAACGCCCAAAGTTTTTGCTAGTTTTTTTCAAACACAATTCTCTTTTCATTGAATATTAGTGCAGCTTCGGCAAAATATTGCAATTAACTTCTGGTTCGTTTGCCCTGCCAGCGCGCTTTCATGTATGGAATTATCCCGTAATTTCCAATAGTCGATTGGAGATCTCGACAAAATTATACTGTTTCTTCCAGGGCATCCATTTCAAGAGCTGCTAATTAATTTGGGGATATTTTAGCACAAAAGGATGTTTAACGAGCAAATCTTTCAAACAATGAAATCTACCTGCTTAATGGTTCCGTTGTTTTGAATAAGCTCTGCATCTGCGGCGAAAGTAGGCATTATTGAGTATATGAGCTAACAAAAAAAAAAAAACACGCTTAAACGCACGCTACGCCAAATTGCATATCGAAAAACAATTTAAAGTGCAATTTAATAACCTATTAATAATTAAATCAAATAATGAATAATGAAAGAATTATGAAAAACCATATTTTTTTTCGAAAAACACATTAAGAAGTTCATTGGTAATCCCATATGTCAAGCAATAAAACCTCTTAGAATTTCAAGAAAAATGCTGAGTTGCAAAAAAATTGGTGTAAATCAATGGAACATGCAGGTAGAATTGCACTTCACGATACTATTTTCATCCTATCAAAAATGCTATATAAATGATTATCATGCCAGGCTAATACTGCTGAACAACCGAGCTTTCTTGGATCGGTGAACTTTAAAAGCTAATTTCCATTTGAGAGCGATTTGCTAAATGATTCTCGACCAGCCAAAGATCTTGGAGGTAACATTGGAAACCTTCCAAAATCGCAACAAACGACTATTGCACGTGATGACAGAAATATAGATATACTGTCTATTTTCCATTTATCATAATTTATAAAACTTGGAGGATTTAAGATCATGAAAATTTATTTGCAATTTTAAATGTGTAATAAATTTTCTTTTAAGTTGCTAAATTCAGCTTGTGTTTACCAGAAACCACATTTCAAGACAATTACTCAGAGTTGCGGAATCAAACGTTCAAAACATCTTTACCACTGCATAAGATATTTGATGTTAAAAAAGCAAAATTATATATTTAAATGTTAAACTTTTACTTTTTAGTTTGGCAACTGCTGCTTATATATTTATTTCAAACTTCATGATCTGCAAATTCACACTCACGTTTCGTCAATGACCCTACTTTCAAAACCAGTTTCTTCCAGATCGATCCAAAGAAATTGAGATTTAAATAGACATTTTCAATGGCAATTACGTTTCATTAACAACTAAGTTTAATCCTCTCTAGAACTTCTGTTAAGGCTTTCCAAGTAATTGATTTTATTTGCATGTCTGAGAAATTTTGCTTGGCAAAGATGATGAAATGATAATTACGTAGCCCTGTTTCTGTATTAGAAAATCATGATCATTATTTGGTCTATATTTCAAACACATTCGTCGTTTCACAGAAGCAGTTTTTAAGAGATTTTTATCAAGAGCTTCATATCAAGTTTAAAAAATTTCCAGTTGTGTCGTGAAAAATTTCTATTAGAAAACTTATGTTAAAATATCGAGACTTAAATGACGAATCCACGAATTTATACTTTCTTCAGTGAAGTTTTAGAATTTGGGCAAAAAGGCAAGAATTTGAATATGTGGATCGTTTAGGAAATCGGATCATTTGAAATCTTTGCAAATTTCTCAGTCTATAAATAACAAAAAAATGTATACATAAATAGGCCAAATAAGTTGGAGGATTAACGACAATGATTGAAACAGAATGTAACAAAAACAACGAAAACATTTGAGACAGTTTATATGATTACTTCTTTATCCCGTCAGATCCTATAGAATATTTCAATGTTTCGGGCGCAACTTCCTGTTTTCCCTGTTAAATATATTTCTTAAATTCTGTTGTTGGCCATTTCAGTCGTCTGGCATTTTGCTTCAAAAATATATTGAAATTCTGACTCAAAAATCGCACATAGAGGAAATACAGGTTCAGCCATACAGCCGTCCTTTTATGTATACTATGCCAAACTCAACTAGCAGTAAACCTAGAATTGATATTGTGAGTATTATAAAACCACAAATCACTCTGTTATTTCGACTTATATTTTCCATTTGGTTGACCTAATTTTAAAAATATGTTAATTTTCGGCTTTAATTGTCTAGCGACAATATCGATCACATCAATTTACTTTAATTCGTTAATGCGGAAACACTGCACGCTATTTCTGATCATTTAGCTAAGCAGTTTTCTCGAAATGTGGGTGGAAAGTTGTGGAGGAAAATTAATTGTCTCTCTGCCTAATAGAACATGTTTAATCAAGGAAATGCTACCGGTTGCTTCTCATCTGTTAAGTGACTATACAGTGTACACAATAAGAAGCCTAAAAATATTTGCAAAAAGATGAAACAATTAAAATTCTTTATAAACTTTCATAAAACATATGCAACCCTTACGGCGGATTATAATATATGTGATCAAAAAATTAATAAACCCGTAAATGACGAATTTTAAAAAGCTTTAAAAGATTAAACACAAATTCACAGATTATTAACAGTGGTAATTAATACCACACACTTGTAAAACAACACATTTTTGGGGAGTTTCAAACATTCATGAAGTAAATATGCCATTACGCCCAACAGTTAGTAGTATAAATTCACATACACATCTTTTAGCTAAATATCTATTACATATTTTAAATCTTGTAATGACAAACATGACTTTTAGATTGTGATAGATTTCAGAAAAATTGTCAAATACCAAACCAGACTCTTCAAAGTTTTGAACTCTACCCACTAACGTATCTGTTGATGAAACTTCAAGTATCATACAATAAAAAAAATTACGTGCATTTTAAAGAACGCCCACCATTAAGTATTGAACTTGCAACGATAAGGGTAATAAACTCAAATTATTTTCCATAAATAAATGTTCCAGAAAATGTGAGCTACATTTTGAAACAAGTGTCAGGAATAGTTACAAATTTAAGTAATAATTGGACGGCGACATTTTGATTCTGAGGTTTTAATTTATAGTCATAGAGTAGACAAACTTTATAAATTGTTGTCATATCGTTTCCATAAAGAATCTATAATTAAATTCACTATCGAAAAAGAACTCAAAGACCAAACTCCTTTTCTCAATATACTAATTAAGAACCATTCAGACAATTTCCAAACTTTGGCATACCTATAGAAATATTAAATTCACGGAGGTATATATTTAAGTTTTAACTGAAATCATCCGACATAGCAGAAATAGTTTTTGATAAATCTGATTTTACAAAACAAGTACTATTAATAAAAGAGGTCCTAAATTTCAATAATTTTCGAACATCTTTTATTGACAAATGCTTTCAGTAGACTGGAAAATCCACAATTAAAACAAAATCAAGATGAACCTCACAGAAACAAACCATTTTATTCCATATAGGTTTTCTGAGGATTTCAGATGAAATTAATCGAATACATTCAACTACCTACGAAACTGGAAGTAGATTTTGCTTCTAAAATTTAATTAAAACAAATTAATAAAATAAAATTTTAAAAGAAAAGCCTCACCTCACACATATCATTAAAAATACAAAAAATTTAATTTACAAAATTCTTTGGTAATGTGAAAAATTTTATATAGGAGGAACACCAATCATACAAAAAAATATGAATTTTATAGATTATACATTTGTCAACATGTATTTGACTTATATGAATAATTTTAGCAAAGAAATTATAAACAAAAATTTTAATTTGAAAAAAGTGCATTCGTTTCATTGAATAAAAATAACTGTGTTGCCTCATTTGTTAATTTCATTTAAGCCATAAATTGTTACTTAGACTAAAATCTGATGTAGACCAAAGAAACATTCATTTCCTAAATTCTTAACTTTTTTCTTACTGTTTTCTAACGACCCGATTTTGGCCACAGTCAAAGAATTGACAATTTAGAAAAAACGAAACCTCAGAGATTTTTTACAAATTTTTATTCATTTGGCCTTGTGAAACAATTTATTGACATGCTCCTTTTTAGGTAGTTTTTGATAACTATAGCAGAGTTTCTATCTAGCATTAATGTGACTTTTCCGCATTAGTTTCGGCAGCTTGAGCCTCAGTGTGTCGTAAGTGATAGTCCTGGCTACCCTTTGATAAAGAATTCGATCTTTATTGTGAAATAAGAAACTCTTTATCAATATGTAATCAAATTTATTCCTGGGTTTCAGTCATTTATTGTCTCTATTTATTAATCAAAATACGTTTCGGTGTATTTTTCAACCATCATCAGTTTTTATGTGTAGCGTTGTTGCTGCTTTAAGCCTTGGCATGCATTTGGAGTCTCCAAAACGTATTTTGATTAATAAATAGAGACAATAAATGACTCAAACTCAGGAATAAATTTGATTTGGAATTGAAACACAGTCAAGAAAGTATATATCAATATGTAATGGAAGACGTTTTCCAAAAGCAAAAATTGTGAGGCAAGTTGCACATAAAAATGGGTCAAGAACCATGAATCCTCCTCAATGATATAGAACTTATTTATTTGAATACAGAGAGTTTTTGTACCTATAATACTAACACTATAAACAATATGCATATAATTATAGCTGATTATTGCAAATAGAAGTGCTGAAATTTGAAAGCTCCGTATGTATACCTAAATAAATGGTCGACGATAAAAGACAAGAGAAAATTGATAAACCTAGTTGGTGTAAGGATGATTTGGATGAATCCTCACCTGGCATTGTGGAAATTGTTCCTCCTCAGTTCGAGCCACTTTCCAGCCCAAAAGTGGTGGGATGCAAATCAAAGCGGATAACACCCAAACCGAAGCAATCATAACGGCGGCACGCAGCGGTGTCCGCTTTTTCAAATACTCGACCGCTTGCGTGATACTCCAGTACCGATCCAGGGAAATCAGACACAAGTTCATGATGGAAGCAGTACTCAAGAGCACATCCAATGCGGAATGGACGTCACACCAGCGGGCGCCAAAAATCCAATAACCCATCAGTTCGTTCGCGAGCGAAAACGGCATTATAACTAAGCCTAGGAAAAAGTCAGCTACGGCCAGAGAGGCGATGAACCAGTTCTGGATGTTCTTCAGCGCTTTCTCGGTGATGATGGCAATGATAACCAGCATATTGCCCACAATAACAATTATCATAAGAATGGTAACTATAATCGATGCTACCACGATCTGGGGCAGCGTAAATCCGCTCGGATAGTGTGTAAACGCTACAGTGGCATTCGTGACGTTTCCAGAGGAATTGTCCATCAGCATCAGTATGTCTTCAACGGCGATCGCCGTTTGCACTGTGAGATTCGACAGTGCCATGAGTATATTTACAGAGATTGGTCCCTAACAACACTATTTACAGTACCCGTATTAAACCGAAACTTGTGCCGCCAAATCCATGACGGTCATAATTAGTAACTAAACCATACGAAATTATGTTTTGTCACTAACTAGTTTAGAATATTAAGTTCAATGTGTGCGTGGTTCGTGCAGCCGTCGATCGCGCACCGTGAATTGAGGCAGCAGCGTCCTCGTCGTCGTCTTCGGCCGGGCCTCGAGGCTCACAGGGCATGATCTCGCCTCAATTGACGACCGCACACTGGGGGCGCGAACGACGCCACTCGATGCCGCCGCCGCCGTCGCTCTTGCCGCCTCGCATGCGTCCAGCCTCCCTCAACCCAACTCATCTCTCGCAAGAAGCTAACCGATTTTTCCAATGCCAACCTACTAACCCTATAAGGGATTCATCGAACCTGCTCCGCAATCGAAACATTACTAACATCTCGTATTGTGTAATCGAAATAATTACCCCAACTATTCAAACATAACGTAGCTTTTAGCGCACTTAATATACAGAGTCAGTGACTCCAGCTCTTTGTTGGCGTAAGTGCCTACAGCTTCTGCTATGTTATTATCGCATTTCCCCGTAACTAATCGCAGATATTCGAATTATGATTGTGAAAGAAGCTTCAAACTGATTTACAATTTGACAAGTTCTTGTTATTCTGGGCAAAAGCTATCTACCAGTAGCTACCCGGTAATGGCAAAACACATCACTGCCGCATTGCATTTTTATGAAAAAAATTAAAAAGACTACGTTTTAATATAAAAACATTTCAGAAGTTGAAGTAAAGATGACAATTTTTCTTTTCGAATTGTTAAGTATTCCAATATGCTATCAATCAAGCATGGGACCATTTAAAAATAATACTTATAAACAAAGTTGAAATCCGATTTTCAACTTCTTCATCTTCATCTTCTAGACATTTTCGGAAGAAAAAATTTAAATATTTTTAACGTATTCTTCAAGTGAGCTCCTATAACCCTTTAAAAGAAATGACGCCAATTTTGAATCACACTGCATACATACAAATGATCATTACTTCGGACTATTGTGGACATTTTCGTTTCAGCCGTTAGCCAATATGAATTTTCTCAGAATGTTGAACTGATTTGTTTGTCATTATACAAGTTGAAACCAAGAGTTGTTTTCACCCAAGTTTGTTAACACTTTCTGGGAGAAAATAAAAGCGCATTGTGTTATAATGGCAAGGTTTATGTTTGCTTAACATTTATTTTTTCGATTAATGATGACATATCAACTCTAAAATGAGCTACAATTGTTTAAACAAAATCATGCAATTTATAACCAAAGGAGGAAAATGACTAGGCTGAAGTGGCCTTCACGCAGTCCTGATCTAACGCCCATTGAACATACATGGGACATGTTAGGGAGACTTATTCGCAACAGGCAGCTGGCAACATCGAAAACAATCGAAAACATGTTCAGTAGCGACTACCTGCACTTCATTTTCATTGAGAATCCTCCATGAAAATTGGTTCAAATTCTACGTAAGGACAACTATTTTTCACTCAATATATTAATTTATTTCAATAGACAACATCTAATATAAACATTATTAAATAAGATCAAATTAATCAAAACCTTTAAAAAATACAATTGAAATTACAAAATCTAACATTTAGCATATTCAACTCAGCAACTGCATTTATCTCATTAAGCCACAGAAACATTAAAAAGTCATGATATACAGGATATGTCTTAATAAAGAGCTGATGGTTCACAGGTATACTGCTTAGGTGATTTTAACATAAAATGTTCATGAGTCTTAGTTTGGCAGGGCCTTACTTATCGACCTACGCGGAGTTTGATAGCCAACTTAAATTTTTGTTTTTTTCTAAGTTGTTTTTGATATAATATCGATATTTGTAAGAAACTTGGTTTTAAGGAGTTTTGCAGCATGGGAAGGTTAAATTTGATCTTGGTTCTGCTCTTACAACTTTTTCGCTCATGCATGTATACAATTTTTTGATAATACATTTATTATGATGTTTATTTTATTTTTAAAAAGCGAGTAATTTTTTTTGATAATTACTTACTTTACAAAATATGTAATTGATTTGCTTTGGAAAACACTTACGGGAATTGTTCATTACGACTTTTTGTAATACATTTTTAATGCAAAAATGATAGAGAAATTGAGTTTCTCTATACAAAGGAATATTTCTTCTGCAGTGGCTTTGCCACGTGTTTTCCTTGGGCCTTGATGTTTTCCTTCGAGCCATGCCATCAATAATTAATTCGACCAAATTGCTGAAGTTCCCTGGATTCCTCGACGGTTTTTTCTTCATCCAGCAGGTTATATAATTAACTGACCCTCGAAAATTAACCAGAAGATCGCTTTCGAGATAAATGGATGCGACGTTGTTTTGCACCATGCTTGAAAAGCTCCTGAGAGATTCCTACATTTAATCGTCTTATCTATTCGCCCGCCATCATTAACTGAAAGTTACTACCTACAAGTTGGCTATTTTTTGTACTAAATTAATAGCAAAATTAGATTTAACAATGTTTTGAGGATCAAATGTTCATCATTTTAATTGCTAATAATTAGGCAAAAGTAAGCAATGACTGATGCACTTTGGAACACTAGGTAGATACTAATTAAATTAATTAAACATTTTAGATAATGCTGCAAAGTTTATGTTTTAAAGTCGAAAGCATGAAAACGACATTAGTGTCGTACGTTTGGACACTTTTAGCATGTGTGATCAAATTGCATTCGACAGCCATCCGATTATATATTATTTTTATGTAAAATCAATGACCATTGGCGGAAATAAGTGAAAACCGGCGTTGGAAATGCTATCAGCAAATTGTAATTTTTTAACACGCCATGCCGTTTCGGATCACGAACGTTGAACATTTGTTTCTGCTTTGCCTTTTCAGGGTTTCATGTTTAAATTACATGCTTTCTGGGACAAATTTATTAATCAAGACAATTCTTAAGCAATTTGTTTCGGTCATCAGCACGGAATTAAAACGGAATATAATTTTTCGCCTTAATAGAGATGTTTTTGGCTGCAGTGGATTAATATTATTAACTTCCTTTAAAACGTCCATAATGAACCAATTCTAAATTAAGCTTTTAGTAATCTCATGAGAAAACAATGCCGGATTATGTGCGGAAATAAAACATTCTTCGTAGCTAATTGAAAACCCCAATACCATTAAATTGCAGCCAAAGCAATCAATTAACCAATTTACGTTATTCATGAATAACAGTTTTAATAAGCCTGTCCAATCAACAAGCATTATTATTCTTGCCGATTAAACACAGACAGAACAGAGCATAATTCAAAAATCCATAATGGGATTCTAAATATTTTTGCTTTTATCAATCAACGGGTTCCAGCAATTCGCCTAGCTTCAAAGCGAATAACAGCGAAATTGAATCGAACGATGAAATATTTAATAAATGCTCTGTTTAATAAAAATTTCGCTCTTAATTTCTCATTTTCTGATATTGAAAGATTATGAAAATTGTTATTTTCGAGACAAACATCCAGAAAGAATCATTATTTAATTGTATTATATATTTCATTACGGTGGAAGGAGAATCTGCCAACGAGAAAGCATTAGTAATCAACGTTTTATAACGGTTTAAAAATCTCAGTTGATAACGAACAAAAAAATATCAGTAATCTAAAAATAATTTCCGATTGATAATACATAAAAAGTATGCAAATTTAAAATGAATTTTGACGAATTTTATTGCTTCATCAATAAAGCAAAAACAAATTTACTTAACGAAATCTTCTGTTATAAGTTCGGAGTAAGAGTTTTACGGACGATCGAAGAAATTTGTTTCTAACAATCCTGAGAGTATTATAAAAAATCGCCAACAATTCTCGTTTTTGCAAGCTCAGTAAATAGAAGTTTCAAAGTTAGTAAATATGGGCTTTTTTAAATTTCGCATCTTCCCAACGAACGCATGCATCACTTTGAAAATTTCACAATCTTGAAGCAGGCACATTCAGGCAGAAATGAATGACTTTCAAAACTCGCATTTCCCAAACTAAAGCAAAATTTCGATTTAAATTAAATACTACAAAAACCATTTACAAGAAAGTTAATAGGAAATTCAATACGCAACAAAAAGCAGTATAAATTATACAAAAAGATCAACAATCAAATTTCTTCCTGCTGGTTCAGAAACGTTTGTTGATGGAAGTAGAGTAAAACTAAATTTAAATTTTCCTGAAGATTTTGAAAGGCTTTTTTATTATAGAAGCCATAATTATAATAATGCCTTACTTTTTGATTTATTTTCCTGACTGCGTGTAATTGTTATTATATTCTTATCTTTCCTGATTAAGAATATAATAACAATAATGCCTTACTTTAATTTTACAACTTCTTGTTAGAAAAATTCTACTCTTACAAATTCATCAAACCTTTGTTTTTTCAACTTTTTTTCTGTCGCTGATTTTTACTCAATGCGATGCTGGGCCCTTCCTTCTCTGCCAACACAGGGAAAATATTTCAAACAACGGAGAGAAACACTAGAACAGAAAAATGACTAAAGCTGTTTGCCATTTAAAATAAAATCAACTTGGCCACACAAGCGCAAAATTGAAGCCATATGAAGCCGATACCAAGCGTTCAGTTTACAAAGTTATTTCTGGAGAAAGAGGAGACGGATCAAACGTTCATTTTCTATGGTCCGAACTGTCAGAAGATAAGGAAGGAGCAGGAGAATGAGAACCCTCTTCTTGAAAGCCGCCGTCTTCAATTATTTTGTTTACCGCTTTAGAGGCGTTTTGTGTCAAAGAATTTTCGTACGAATATAAAATTCACGAACGGTCCAAAGAAGGGACATTTTGCGCAATTGACGAAGGAAAACAAAACCGAATTGCTTTTAGTGTCAAGCAGGGCATAACGTTTACACCGATAAAAGGGTTCATTGCTGGTATATTTATTTACGTTAAATGTAAAGTTTCACAAAATATGAATTGAAATAACTAGAAGTAATTAACAAATTGCCTTTTATTATCGTTTTATAATAGACAATGCGTGAACCAAATTTTTACTCGAATTTCGGCTAAGTTTCACCTTGGACGTGCTAAAATATACTGCCCTTTTTGTTAGGCTTATTAAGCTTTAAACTGAAGAGACCTGACTTAAAAATCGCCGACTGAAAATCTGCTAATGTGGGCTTAAAATCGCAAATTACATAATGAAAAAGGAAAAAAGTTGAATATTATTTATATCTCGTGTGTTAGGTCCATATGTGTAGACCGCGTGTCATTAACTGAGGCTGATTTATCAAAACAGGACTTTATGAACATTTTTCGTTCGCTATTTTTGCATATATTTGAATATCTGCTGGTAAAAACACCCTCATGAATTATCTCTATTACACTGATACGTCAATCATTGTGGAACGGTCATTGGGGACCCAGACCGGACGGTTTTAGTTTCCAGTTTAAACAATGGAAATTTTGCAGTAAATATGCAAATTTTGTCAATTATTTTACTAAAATAACTAAATTGCTTCCAAACAGTATTCAAAACGTGTTGTTTTTGTTGCTAACTGTTACTCTCTTTAATCATTCTCAGATTCATCAATTCTCATTGAATTTATGTACTTTGACTCGTTTTAAAATTATTTTCCTAAACTTGGTTTCCTAAAAAGTTTTTAAGAAAGTTTTAAATTGTCAATATAGACTAAAGTTTACATCACCTAATTAATAGACTGTCTAATTATAACGAGTGGTAGATTTTGTATCTGGGTTTGCTCGTTAAATGCAACTATGTCGCAATTAAAATCTAGTGCTGGGCAGTAATTTAATGATGAAATGTACAAACCTCAATAAATCATAAACCAAAAAGCTCTACTGTTTAGTTTCAGGTCGACCCTTGTTAAACGCACTTGAGTACATAATGCATATCGCCCATGCTATTTATTTGCTTTAATTTGAAATGTCGCATATAGTGTCCAGCAGGTATGTTTAACTTGTGCAAACTAAACCTACATATAATATCAAGTATGATTAATCGGCCCACAACGTGTTTATGGAGTGGCTGTAGCACATTTAAAGCCATCCTCATGTTAAAACACTCCCTGATTTCAATTAATCATCAAAATTGAGCATCGTAGATAAAAACTGAAGATTAACACCTGCAAATTGCACTTACCCAAGTAAACCAAATCCAATTGTGTAAATCACTTTTCTAGTATATATCACATAAGTACTTCGGAAATACCATCAGAAAAATCTAATACTTGCCGGTTTACGTGGATATTTGCTGGCTGTATCCCTCAGAAAAACTTCAATTCACTGTGTGTATTCCGTTTGCAGAATATAAATTTCGCTATCCGAGGATATTTTGTGCTTGCAATTCGTTCTTGAAATATAGCTCGAATCATGTAGAAGGGAATATTGCCATATTATGATATATAGCCGTCCATAGGGAATTCAAAGAATGCTTGATTACTTCTACTATATTTGAAGATTTATTTGAGATGTTGAGTGGTCTATCTGTGGCAAAGTGGAATTTTTCGATTTGAAGCAAAAGGCAATTTTAAAGGACTTGATCGAGCTCAGATAGTTCCTCTTTTAACAGTTGCAACTTTACTAAGCAACTTTTCCACCGAAAGGAATTTAATTTCAGTTTCTTTACAGGAAAGTGTCGAAGTTCACTACCAAACATATGTGGGTCTTCGGACGAATGCTCCATGGCACTCTATCCACTGGTGACTTTTATTTTTTCCTTGGGTTAATATTCCATCATCGATGTTCCCAGAAAGAAAATATTTTACTGCATTGAAAGTTACCTGTTGGTTAATTGAACAACTGTATTGTTCTTCCTTCTCCACTAGCTATTGCCCCAATTTATCTATTTTCGAATGGAAAATCATTTGATGACTCACTTAAACCTCCTGTATTATAATTTTAACTACATTTGCCATAATCACAGCTGAATATTTAAAAGTAATCGTTTAACCGTTCACAATTTTAAATGAATTTGTAAATTGCCTTATTCATTCTTGAAATATTCCAGCTAGTACCTAGATTTTGGATAAGTGAAGATTAAATTTAAACCATTGCGCACTAGACTAGCCTATTGTTTTGATTAACTGGAAAGCTTTACTTGAAATGTTTTGTGATAATGTTGACTGGTGATTATGGGAAAATTCGAAATATTTAAAGGTCGCTTTTGCACCGTTTTCTACCGATGTATAAATGCGTTGCTTATTGGCAGTCAAGCCACAAGATTTGCAATACTAGTCCGATTATCACCGACAACAAACGAATTTTAATATGGATTTTAGTCGAGCGACCTTTTTTGCAAGCGTTTTGCTAGCTGCATTAGTGCTGGTCTCAAATATTGAGGCAAGGCAAGCCAGTAAGTACTCACAAGAAACAAGCTATTTTCTTTTATAATGGCGGTTTTTTCACTTATAAATTTTCTTGTAGATTTCAGTACTTACAGATCAGCAGTGAATAGTACTGCATCGCCTAATACCACTTTCAGCCTGTTATTTAATGCTACCGCAATCAACTCCCGCACGTCTTCAGCTCAACTTGGAAACGCTTCAGAAACCACCCTATCAGGTAAAAATTTTGTTTCCGCCGGTGGATTGAACTGGCCATATTTATCACTGTTTTACATTGCAGCTCTAAATATAACAAGTGGAAAAGATACAACAATTAACAACAACACGGGCCCCGTCACTTTTCCCCCCTTTGTAGCAGAGTGAGGAATCAAATGATTTATTTTTTTATAGATTTTAAAGGAATTTTTACAGCCACCTGAGGCAAGAACTAATTAACTGAAATGTATTAATAAAGGCACATTTTTAACCAACCAGGATATTTGCTATCGCAATTCATTGGAGCCAAAAACGAACTGTTTAGTTTATTACTCCAATTAACCCTACTGTATGAGTTTTGTGGGATTTAGAAGCAGAGTATTTAATTGTACATACTTTCCTGACTGTGTTTCAATTCTAAATCAAAATCAATTCCTGGGCTTCAGTCATTTATTGTCTCTAATTATCAATTAACATAAGTTTCGGTGTTTTCCACCATCATCAGTTTTTCAAAAATAACAGATAGTTAAAAAAAATTTCGTTAATTTAAAAAACAATCACAGTTCGTCAACAGCTTCATCATATCACACACTAAAATACATCACAATTGCAACACTTTAAAACATCCTAAGATTAATTAGGTCTAACAGGTGATTAGTCAGGACAATCAATTCTGGGAAGAGACTAGAATTCTTTGTTCAGATACTCAAATATGTTTACTTACATGTGTAGCGTTGTTGCTGCTTTAAGCCGTGGCATACATTTGGAGTATTAATTTTGTCTATTTTGCACACATTTCTTTTACTTTCAGTTATATTTCTTTGCATTCTAAGAATATAATTTTTGGTTTGCAAAATGCTTCAATATACCGGGTGTTAGTTAATATTCTATGTTTATTTCATTTAATTAATGAATGATATACTAAGCTAAGATTGTCGGTATGCGATCTGAAATTCATAGCATTGTTATGTTTTTTAATCTGTATCATTTCATGGACTCTTCTTTTTTAATTTAGTAGTTTCAATTTAGAGTAATTATAAGAAGGAAAGAGTCCATGAAATGATACAGATTAAAAAACATAACAATGCTATGAATTTCACATCGGATACGTATTTTAATTGATAATTAGAGACAATAAATGACTGAAACCCAGAAATTGATTTTGATGAGAGTATTTAATGAAAGCATTTCAACATGCAACTGCTCATAGTTTTGTAATTATGGAAAGAATCTCTATTGCAGCAGCAATTTGCTAACTTTTTGGTACCATCTTGAATGGTGCATTGTGCGCGTTGAAAATCCCATTAGAGACGAATGAGTGATTAGTATTGGCATACAAGTTAGGCACATTCATCGTGTAAAAATATTTCCCATAATTGCCGAATCAACAACAGCCACAATTAACCATTTATTCCGGCTTACATTGTGGAGTAGTCAAGCACAACAAAATGCCATCGTTTTATGCAAAATCCCATTAACCTAAAGTATTGTACATTTGGAAACATTACATATTTATCACCGAGTAAAAGCCGGAAAGTGTAACGCAGTTTAAGGCCCCATTATGTGCAGGTTTTAGTATTTGGAGCGAGGGAAAACTTTGCAACACATTTCAAGTATGGGCTATCACCTGTATTGAGTACATTTTCAGTACTATTGTTTCTATTGATAGTAGAATACAGTGGCAGCGTGAGTGCAGCCAATCGATTAACAATATACAGACCTGGCACGAAAACTTATTAAAAATGTTGCCGCCTAAGTGATTTTCACCTCAAATCGCAGATTTTTGTGACTGTGAAGAAACAAGTTTAAGTTCCTCATAACTTCTAGTAAAAGATTGCAAATTCTACTTAGAAAGGAGACCATTTCAATGAATTTATTTGGCAATATATTGCGGAAAAAATCGTTTGTTTGCAATTTAAAAACTTCAAATTTGATTACTTATGGCTGTTCTGAGGTAATATAGGGATAAATGTCCAAGTTTGAGTTCCAAAAGTTTCAATTTCCATTCCTTACAAACGAAAATTTGTTGAATAAATTTCCATTTGAATACAAATAAAATCCATCAGTGATTGCATAATAAGTACCTTCAGAGTGCATGTGAAAAATGATTCGCGAACCTGGTTTAATTGAGGAGTCACCAACGAATCAGAAAATCACTGACCAGTTCAAAGTAAATAAAATATTTTACATTTTCAACAACTTTTTTATGCCCAGAAATACACCTTTTCCGGGTAAGGTGTAATTTTAACTTTTCCAGTTAAAAGTTTGCTAATTACGTAGGTTTAATATTCGAAATTGCATGTTCCATGTTCGAACCAATCATGATTATATAAGTGGAGTACAACGCAATTTTCAGACTTATTGCTAGCTGGAAAACGTAGATAGAGTTTCTTCTATAGTTCGAAGGCAACAAATAATCATGTCCACATGTGTGGCATCGTGTATTGGCTTGTATGAATTCGTAATTATTTTGGTGCAAAACTTTTCCCAAGTACTACAGATGTCTACCGAAGAATCCGATTGGAATTTTATCATTTTTGTAAAAATTATTGATATATCACCTGCCAAAAAGCCATAAAAATATTCTCTTGTATTTCCGAATGTAGCTATAACGAATTGAGAGCTATATCCATAATGATGTCATAAAAACACATGGAAATAGGAATATAAAAATAACGGTCGGTGGACCCAATGCTTTTTCCGATCGTTTTACACAAGTTTTATTGTGTTTTTTATTCTTTACGTCCAATTGTAGAATTATTATTATTGATACTTGGTTGTGATGCTTCATTTCTTACACGAAATCAAGTTAGCTCAAAAGATATTTTATTCTCTCAGAAAATATCCGAAAAAGTCTGGATACTTTCAACGACTTTCTTCAAAACCGAAATTATCCCTTTAAGAACAACCTTGGAAACTAATCGACGCAAATCGTGAAACTTAACATTAAATTAAGAGCGCTTTTAGGCTGTTTTATTGCCAAACATGAAAGGCCATAATGATGGCACTTGAGCACTTGAGGAGCTTCGCTCAAGTTTATTTAGGAATTCTCCAGTTGAAATAAAGTACAATTGCAAATCGCCGACATAGATCAAAATGAAACATTTCACTCTGTCAGAAGCAGCGACTTAAACACAGGCCTAAATTACAATGTCTGTATATGAATTCATTGTTTCAGTTCATTAGATTGTCGATTGTTTATTGCAGCTTTTATTCGCTGATTTACTATGTTGGTGCATCGGTAAAACCCGTTCCGATTGAATAGTCAATTATTCAAGACTCTTTGCAAATTGGTGTTTGCAATATAATGGATGTTAGCTAATTCTTCACATGCTCAACATTGTCTAATAAATCTACCAGCCACTTTCGATGTGAACCGGAACAAATGTTTTAACATATTTCTGGATAAAATCGCCTAAAAGCTCTTGACGCGAATAAAAAATTCTCATCAATATTCAGTTTTCAGATTTGTAAAATCCCGGGAATTTCGCCGTCAGCATCAACGATCTGAACGTTTTTGTTGTTAAAGCGCACAGCTTTTGTTATTTAAATGTCGCAAGCTCCCAATTTCTAATCGATGTTCGCAGGTATTTTAAACCGCATTTTAATGTGAGCGATATAAAAATGATGGGCTATTGTAGGCTGGAAAGAAGTAGCATTGATTTGTAGATATTCAGCGAAAGGTGCACCGAAAATACTGGATATTTTGTCTATTGCAATATTTTTCATTTTAAAATCAAATGCCACGGGTAAGTGCAAGGATGGAATCATTTTTAGTCTTAGTTTACAGGGTGATGAAATTTTACGCGGACAAGAAAAACTCACTTACATACAAAACATGCAACAGATTAGACCAACGTAATTGATTATATTTTCTGTCCAAAGAAATATATCCTGAAGTTTTAACACTTCATGGCTCCTCACTCAAGCGCTTTTGAACCGATCTTGTTCTAAAACCTATAGAGGACAAATGCAAGAAAAACTACAGTGGAAAGCGGCACTAAATAAAATCGCTCCAAACCCACGTGTTATCATGGTAGAAATTGCTGGTTTATCTCCGTTTCTCATTACCGGCAACAGTTTTCAGCTCAAAAATAAAAGGTGCAATTTGCGATAACATTAAATTAAAAGGTTAAGCTGTTTACCGCCAGGTGTGAAGAATATCTCTTGGGGCTTAGGAGTGTTCTCAATAAAATCAATACAGGTAATTGCTTTTTAGACGCTCTCCATCCCTGGCTTAATAAGGCTGTTGCAAACTAGCTTTTTAACGCTACAAATAAGGGCTTGCGTTTTTCGGGACAAGAGTCATTTCGTGTAAGTGCTTTTATGCACTGGCCTACGGTAATTAATCCACAGCACAGTTTTATTTAGTTAAAGATCAGTTTAATTAGCCTAGTCTGTTAGAACAGTGAATTGGATTAAAACAAGCCAAAAAAACTGGAATGGGAAACCAAACCCGCAGGATCCGAATTTTCAAACAAATCATGCATTATTGATTATCCGTGACCAACTTGTTCTCATCTCGAAATGTAAACCTTGAAAAGAATGTCAGCGTCTCCTGTTTAGAATAACATATGAGAATGCATTACTTTTCTCTCCCAAAATGACATCTTCTCAATACGATTCCTCGACATTTCAATTTGTCACTGTACAAAACTGGAAATGGCCATATTTGTGAGGAAATGTTGAGTTTTAAATTAGAACAAATATTGCCATGTGTATTGAATGGGGTAAATATCGCCATGCAGTATATAATTGCGAAATTCTATGCGGCCAGAACATGGGAGCCACACAATCTTGCCATAAATTTGCGCGAGACCACCCAAAAGAGTAAATTGACGTAGAAAACGCTCTTTTCCTGACCTACTTACAACGAGGGGCATCAGATGGTCGGAAATTCCGTAAAAAGAAGTTTAACTGCTTTATTGGCAAGCTTGAAATGTGCATTACAGCGAAATCTATATTTAAGGACAGCATATACACCGAAATAAAAACACCTATATATAATTCCAAATTTGAAAAAAAAACTCAACAAGCTCTACATAAAGCATCCTGATACTAAAATTCGATATGCAGCGTGGTGAAATAATAAAGGTTTAAGTTCTAAAGATAACTGCGGATTCTACTCTGAGTTGTCCAATATAAGGTTGATCCTTCTGAAAATATGAAAGTCAAGAGGACAACTGAAAAGAAACTTGCAGCATATGTACAGTTGACTGTTGAACTATACTGAAGATAAATACTCATAAAAAAATTAAGAGTGTGATCTATTTTT